GACCCTGGGATTATAGCGCCAACTTCAGGAGTAGGACACTAGGCAAAAAATAACCTAAAGCACAGCCTAGTGGCAGCCCCTGCTGGTGGCCAAACCACAATCTGCCAGAGGCAGCTGTTAGTTAAACAGCAGTACAATAGCAAACAGCCACACTAATAACAGCCTGAGGAAAAAATCCTATTTTCTTTTCTGTTCAATTAAGGGACAGAGCGAAGATCTCCAGATCTGACTATTGGGACGTCCCAAAGTAATACCCACAGAGAGGTGGGTAAAACCAAATATCTTCCAGGGGCAGCAACCTAACCACATCAGCCTAGAGAATTACTCTGAACAGACCATCATGCAGAACCCATAGATATAGGCCATAAGGCCCTGAAGCCACCCAAACATCTCCAAGGGAAGTGGGAAAAGATAGGGAGACAATGTAGCCAGAGAAAAATGGCAGTCCAAAGACAAACCAGAAAATCCCCATCTGTTTGGGATGCCTCCCTCCATTATCCTACACCGAGGACTCCCAAAAATGGCAACAACAACATAACCCAAAGAGTGAGAGAGGTATGTACCAAAACATACAAGACAGCGTACAAGCCAAGTACAGCTCTCATGGAGGGACAGAGAAATTCATCAAGCATATGAGAGGCACCCTCAACTGATTTTGAAGAAAAACTGAGAGGCCAGCAGCCTCTATCCTGTGAGCATCAAAGTGAAAACCTAAAGAACAAGCGATGAACCAGGCCCATCCAAAGAAAGCTAGGAATGCCGCATGAGCAAGTGAAATGAACACTCTACATGCAAATGTAGACCCACAAGAAGAGACCACCTACCGCCTAGCATTAAAGAGGATTATGAAATCAAATATGCCTCTGTCCTAGATAACCCAGGCTGCAGACCAAGAAAAAAGAAAAAGAAAGAAATTCCCTTTCAGATAAAAGATTAGAATGATCAGAGAAAGCCCACGTAACTTCCACCAGGAGTCTGTTCAGGCCAGAAGACAACAGCCACCTGAAAGAACAATGAAAATATTTGGAGTAAGAACATGCCCAGTACACAAGCAAATATGGATGCCAGGTCCTGGAATACCTCTAAAAGACACTTATCCCAAACTGAAAGCTATCGAGCTAGGTAGGCAGTCTGCCAAATGTCCATGTTCAGGGTAAAACAGCAGACAAAGTGGGAACAAGCCGGCCTGATCCAGGACAAGAACCCTCTTGCCTTTGCTTGCCATGGCAAGATTACTGGAACCTCCTCAAAACTAGAAAGTTAACAACTGCCATATGCGCAGAACGAATCCCAAACCAATAATACAATGCTGGAAACTCCACTGGAGGTTAACAGCCCAAAAAAGACTGTAGCACACCGAGAATGGGAAGCAAAATTCTTCCGAGTTCCCTGCACTCAAAGGAGCCCAGGACTCCTTCTCAACCAAACCAGCTGGTGTCAAACATCAAAAAAAGCATAAGAAGCTTCCCAACCGAGACTGAGACTTCAAGTCTCAGGAGGGAAACGGGTTTGACGCCTACGATAAAACACTTAGTTCATCACAGAATATAGCCAAGTGGTTGAAAGAACCCGGGATACAACAAAGGCTTAGTCTACTTAATGCGAATAAAGCAGTGGGACCGGATAATCTAAGATTCGGGGGTCATTGTAGACCATAAACTGAATAGATTACAGTGCCAGGTTGCTGTAAGCAAAGCTAATAGAATCCTGTCCTGCATCAAGAAGGGAATGTTTTGCAGGGGACAAGTCTATAATTTTGCCACTTTACACATCACTGGTTCGGCCTCACCTGGAGTGTGCGGTGCAGTTTTGGGCACAGAAAGGATGTCCTTGAGCTGGAGAAAGTCCAGCGGAATGGAGGACCAGAACTATGAGAACTATGAGACAAGGCTACTAAATTTAAATATGTTCACGTTGGAAGTAAGGAGATTAAGGGGGGACATGATTTTCATGTACAAGATGTTCAATAGTCATAGCAACATTAGCAACAAACTCTTTAAGATTAATTCTGTAACAAAGACTAGAGGCCACCACCTAAAACTGGTAGAAAAAAAAAATTCAAACACAAGGTGCTAAGGGGGTTCTTCTCAGTTCACGCGGTTAGGGTCTGGAACTCGCTGCCACAAGCAGTGATTTCCGCAAATAGTCTGGAATCATTCAAGAAGCTTTTGGACGATTTCCTGAGACCCCATAATGTGCAAGGGTACAGGTACTCTTAAGAATGAGATGACTCAGGGACCTATACACACAAATAGGTTGGACTTGATGGACTTATGTCTTTATTCAACCTCAAATACTATGTAAATACAAGATCTGCCCAACTAAGATCACTTGGGTCATCAAAGAAGCAAGCTGTGTTTAAAAGTGCTGGAAGCCATGGTATCTATCCCTGAAAGAGGTATGGCAAGAAGGATTATAAAGGGAAATGTAATCTCCTGAAAAACAGATAACGCATAACACCCTGTGGTGTTTTATGGGGGTTATATGTACATTTGAAAAACCCTCAAGATATCCTGCAGTGCTGGGAAGATAGCATCACCTAAGAATCAAAGGGCAAGATGTTGCCCTAGACCAGGGGCGCCCACAATTTTTCATCTGGAGATCTACTTTTAAAATGACGAGCTCAATGAGATCTACCAACAAAAAAACACCTGCATTCAGGGGCTGGAGGGGGCGTGGCAGTGCATTGAAGTCAATGGCACGGCAGCCAGGCACCGCAGGCAGGCCACTCGCCCACAGTGCGATCGCCTGCATCCGGAACCCAGGCACATAAGTGCCTGTGTTCCAGTCCGATCCGCAAAAATTCTGCGAGCACTTTTTTTGCAGACCGCACTGGACCGGAATGCAGGCACTAATGTGCCTGTGTTCCAGGTGCGGGCGATCGCACTGTGGGCGGGGGGCATGGCTGCAGTGCCATTGACTTCAATACAACCCCACACCCCCTCCCGCCCCTGAACGCAGGGAGTCAACCGGCTTACATTCCAGTGCTTCGGGGAAATATTAGGGGTCTGATATTTCCCTTTTAAAATAGAAGAAATTGAGGACACAATCAATTTTTCTGCAGCCTCTGTTCTAAATTAATGGAAAGCACAGAGGCTTCCCATTCATTCAGAAAATATTTTGCTATCATATGTTTGCCCAGTTATTTGCAAACACTGGAGTGATCAGCTGATCACTCCAGTGTCCGGAGCTGCTGTTACAGAACTAAGGTTGAGTGGTGAGGGGAGAGAGAGGCGCCGGCTATCAGAACCTGGCCAAGTGTTTCTCTCTCTCCTCACCACTCTGCCTTAAGGTGCCCATACACCTTACGATTATCAGACGAAACTTTTCGTCCGATGATCGAATAGTCGTACGATTTTCGTACGGCAGCCCCATCCTGCCCCGATGATCGCAAGATTAATTTAGCCGTAATTAACTAAAAGCACCTGGACGAAATGCGGTAATTGATTTGCCGTATTTTCGTTAGCGCAAGCGCAGTGTAGATCCAACGACTTTTGACGGTCGGAAACGCCAGCAACCTTACGACAATCGTACGATATAGCAAAGTTTTCAAAACAAGTTGTACGATTGTACAGTACTGTCGGTCGGACACTGCAATGAACACATATGATTATCGACCGAAAAGTCGATCGCATACGAAAATCGTACGATAATCGTAAGGGCACCTTTAGTTCTGTGACAGCAGCTCCCTCCTCCAGAGATCCAGAGAAGCCCCACGGGCGGAAGGAGAGGACATCCTGATCTTCCAGTTTTCGCTACGCGATCGGCTGGTAGATCGCGATCGACCTTATGGGCACCCCTGCCCTAGACCAAGGAACTGCCTGCCAAAGACAGCGGCATCTGCTGAAGGACTTCAGTAAGCACTGAAGAATCCTAGGAATGATGCTAATTGGCCGAAAGACCCATTGGAGGCATGAGGGCTTGTGGGTAAAGGATGGATCGTGTGCTTTATAAAAGCAAGCGCTCAGCTATATTTCGCTCTCTCTGAGCCCAGGAGACGGACTTGTTATGTAATGTATTGTCTTTGTTTTATTGTATGTATTGATAATCTTCATTTGTTTGTATTATATAATTTTACTATAATTTTTTAACTTTCAGTATGAATAAATAAGACCATTGCTTATTTTAGCATTTGTGTTATGGTTTTTATTATTAACAGAACAGTGGAGGAGCACTCGGTGGAGGGCCTAGGAAACTTGGCAGTCCGAAGAGGCTGAAGCATGAAGGAAAACAAGGACGGTTCCCGGACGCTGAGAGAAGACGAAATTGCCCTAGCAACAAGATCCTAGACTTCTTCCACTAAGGTAAATGGGCACCCCCCCCATTTACCTTAGTGGAAACCAGTTCCTCCGCCCAACACTAACTCATCAGCGTCATTTATGCCCACCAAGGGGGACTTGGCAGGAAAAGAGACAACCAGGCAGACCATGCAGCCAGCAGCTTAATCGGTAAAGCAAAACAAACGACAAACGCACTCAACAATTTATCCTGAAGGTGGCGCTGGAAATAATTTGCCTGCCAAAGCAAAAGGATTTTTTTTTTTATAGACTTAGCGGTGTCCTTAAATGAACAAAAAGAAAAGAAAAGTAATTTTTTTATGCTAATACTCCCTACATTTACAAGGACTACTGTAAAGATAGAGACTATCAGCAAAAGTCACACAATGCATTATTAAAATGCATAAGACTACAGGAAGACTGTTATAAAGTAGACCTATATATAGGTGTTAAATCTGAGGGGCTTCGGACACAGATAAAGACAATATGTTTGCTGTACTACAGTCACCTTTGATGAGCTTTGATGAGTGTTCACAATGTTATTGCACAGACACATACAGTATATGCTGCTGTCCAGATGGCAATGTTAAATATACCATTCCAAATTAGCCATTTAAGGGACAGGCACACTTAATACAATAGGAAAAGCGACATAAATGGCATCTAAAAACATTACACAGCCTTGAATCATATTTGATAGCTACTTTAAATGTTATAAAATACCTTAATCTCTGGATCTGATAACTGGTGCTTCAGCAGTTCAAAAGCTTGGGTATTTCCCTAGACAAAGGAAAGTAAAAGCTTTGCTCAGATCATTGTAGTGGATCACGATGACAATGGGCATATGTATGGTTTGTACATAAGTGTATAATACAACATAAAAAATGTGCTTATCTATTTTTTGGCTTAAATATAAGTACTTTTTACTAGCAAGGGTATGGTGCAATACACATAAAAAAATACACACAAAAATGCTAGAAGCCGGGGTAAAGTTTTGTAGGCAAATTACTCTTTGCAGGTCTCTTCTGCCAAAGAAAACGAACTTCAGGCGTATAAATGCAACTAAATCTATGCTTAACGCATTTAGCCGACAAGCAACTTCAGTGGTCTAAAAATAAATTCTGTATCAAAAAGAGACAAGACAGAAAGGACTCCCTGCTCACTAACCGACTTCACAGGTTGTACCCTTCAAATTAAGCCTGTCCACTTGAATAGTGCAAGATATGGCCACAACAGTGATCCTGTCATAAGGGACAAGTAGATTGGGCCCTCGCTTTAGCCCTTGGACAAGTAGTTTTTTTTTAATTTCCACACCCTTGGTGACATACCGATTGGTTACACTCTTTAATGACACTGCAAGTATTTTGCCAAGATCACTGTTGTGGCCCTATCTTGCACTCACTTCACACCACCCCCCACACACACACTCTCTCGATTCGGAAAAAACCTTTGATCGGATTTATTGGAAGTATTTAGAACTTGTTCTCTCCAAATTTGTTTTTTCAGGTCCTATCCAATCTGCTATTCTGGCTCTATATTCCTCCCCATCAGCCCAAGTCTACTCGTCTGATGTCCTCTCTAAATCCTTCCAAATAACCAACAGTACACGTCAGGGGTGCCCTTTATCTCCCTTAATATTCAACATGCTTATGGAACCGTTCTCTGAAGCTGTACGATCTAACCCTTCTGTTTCTGGATTCATGCTTGGCCCCAATCATCATAAAATACACCTTTTCGCGGATGATGTGATTTTCATGTTAACAAATTCAAAGTATTCCCTAACAGCAGTTCACCGTATCATCTATCAATTTAGCTCTATATCCTATTATAATGTAAGCAATGCCAAATTTTATATCCTTAGATCCCTGTCTATTACTTTCCCTTATGTGTGGAAGTCCCATAGTACATCCTAGTTAGGAGTTAAACTCACCAACAATACCTCGCTCTTTTTTTAAAGAAAATGTTCTTCCCTTTTTACACACACACTTTACAGCAAGATCTTCTCAAAACTTTCTAAATTTGAATTGACATGGTCTGGACGCCTCGCGGCCTTTAAACCGATGATCCCCCCTCACCTACTTTACCTGTTCGGCACTTTACCCATCCCTATTAAAACCTCTTACTTTAGATCAACCTCTTGCTTAGATCTATTCTTCTTAATTTGGCCAAAAAAAAGCTAGATGTTTGTACTATCGATTAATAAAACATAGGAACGTTTAGGGCTGCAGCTAGTGAATATTTCCAAAATCGCTTAGCCGATTATGAAATTCGGATAAAAATAATAAAAAAAAACAAAAAAACAAAAAGAGGCTCCAGTGATGGAATACAACACACAGGGACCATGGGGAACAAATGTAGCCACCCTCCAGAAGGAAGGACAGTGTCAGCACCAATGCAGAGATGATTTGAGGATCTACAGCCGAGTGATACACAAATAATATACCACCAGCAAATGCTATAATGTATTATTGCTGGGATTTGTTGTATTCCTCTATAGCTGGTGGTATTCTGCATTGCGCTGTATAATCATTATACAGCGCAATAAATTTACCACCAGCTATAGGAGGAATACAACAAATCCCAGCTAGCAATAATACACTATAAAGCGGCGCAATGCATGCAGAATACCTCCAGCTACAGAGGAATAAAACAAATCCGGGTAGTAATCAGGGGCGAATCTGCCGCGAGGCAAACAAGGCGTTTGCCTCGGGCGGCAGATTCCGGCAGGGCGGCGAATGTACCGGCCCGCAAGCCGGTACTTTGTGGCCGGCAGCCAGCTCACAAGTCAGGTACACGGTCAAGGACCAAATACCTGAATTGCGGGAACAGCTACACGTTCTGGATCTCTGTCGGATGCAGACCATGTAGCTGTGTCTGTGCCGGCACCCGGATCCTTTCGGCCAGCGCTCTTTCAGTGAAAGTAATACATTATAGTATAATGCATTTGCTGGAATTTGTTGTATTCCTCTATAATTGGTGGTATCCTGCGGAAAAGTGAAGGCAGTCTTACCTGCAAGCAACTTTACTTTCTTCCCCAAGATCATCGTTCCCCCACGCTGCCGTCTCTCTGCAACAACGTGATAGTCTTGGCGACGGGCAGCGTCTCGGCGGCGCGCAGCGACTGGAGAAAGCTCAGAGCTGTGTGAGGCGAGGAATAAGTGTGGCGTGCAGCATGAAGCGTGCGTAGAGCCGGGAACAGGGGTAACTAATTGAAAGCCGACTAATCGATTAAGGAAAATGTTGACAACGTTTTCCATCATCGATTTTCATCTACTTAGTCGATAAGTTGTTGCAGCTCTAGGAACGTTGGGAGGTATGGGTTTAACAGATTTAAGCGACTACTATTATGCTTCCCTTTTAGACCAACTCAAATACTGGTTTAATCCTTCCCCTGATGTCTTGTGGTGTGGTATTGAGCAATTTCCCATGCCAGGGCAAACTTTATCGCATATGAACAAAAAGGGGAGATCTAGTCAAGAAGGGGATGGCCAGATCAAGTGGTCATTAATGGAACGGGACAGACAGGATTGTGTATAATTTCATTAAAAAAAAAAGGTATTAGTACAAAAATATCAAAAAAGAATGTGAACACCATCATCAATTCACTGTCAGCAAGTTAAAAATAACACACATTGTCTGCAGACTTCAAACATACTCTGGTTGGAAGGGTTAACCACATATAGTATTAGTGTATGTCATCAAAATACAATGCAGTCAGACTAATAAACGACCATCCGGTCAGAATTTGCGGTTCTCAATCGCAGAACCCGATGGTTGAAAAGTTATGCCACAAAACAACTTAAAATTAGTAAATAATACAAGATGTATGAAATTATGCACTCTGTAACGGCTCGGTTCAGACAAAGGGCAAGCTGATTGTTTCTCGGTATATGAGAACCTGCATAGGGTAATTGTCCGTACTCACACCCTCTCTGTAGTATTTAATCCAATCCTTAAGTATTTGATGAAAACATGCTAATTAGGAATATTTCTGTGCTTTTATTAAGAGTAGATGTTAGAAGCAGGTACAGGATCATATACTCGATGTTAAGTCCAATGTGATTTCTAGAAATATGTGACACCATTCACGTCTTGTGTGGTACATCTACCGCTTAAAGGTCTGTAGTTCAATGGTAACAACTGATGTCTGTAATTTCACGTTTGTTAGCAGTGATGTCACCAAAGGGTGATGTTATATAAGTGACAAGAGTTACATGTTGTAGTGCGGATAAATTAGATACTCCAGTGTATCTTAAGGCTTTTCTCACGTGAGTTGTTTGTCTGTGGCAACTATGTAGCTTTTTCTAGATGTGATCACATCGTATCCATATAACAGAGAGCTCTCTTGTGGGCACTTTTTTTGCTTCGGTCTGGTAATCTTTAAGTTTGTCTTGAATAAGGTGGTCCATTTTTGTATTGATGGGTTAAATCATAGAGTAAGTGTAACCGTGGTTATCCAACCCGACATTCAAACAAAGTAGAACTGAGTCTACGCGTTTCACCCCTCCCACATTGGGGCTTCGTCAGGACGTAAGATGATCTGAAATGAATCGCTTCATCAGCTTCTTAATGACTTAGCTTGGATGGAGCGATTAAGAAGTCTGAAATAACATGAGTCTAATTGTATATGGCTAAGTTGAACCCACTCATTGTTCAGCACACACTGTGGTAATGAAAGAGATATGTTGACACTCATTATTTCTGTCCGATACGGGGTGGTTTTAATAATGGGCAGATGAAGGGTGGAGGTGATGTTTATTTATAAGAATACTCCTAGGTTAAATTAATTATTAAGGCCTTGTGGTATCATTGTGTCCAGTCTGTAGATCCACATTTTCTCTTTCTGTAATAGAACTCTATCGAAGTCGCCCCTGCGTGGGGATAGGTTTAAAGCATATATAGCTTTAACCTTCAGTCCGTCCGGTAGTCCATTGTGGAATTCCGTAAAATGGATTGCTATCGGACTTTCACTGTCTTTTTTCTTTATGTCCCTGATATGTTCACCAATACGTATCCGCATTTGGCGTTTAGTTTTGCCAATGTAGAATTTTTGGCTGGGGCATTCCAACTGGTAGATGATCCTGCTGGAATTGCAGTTAACAAACTGGGTGATATTAAATGTTTTGTTACGATCGGTGTTTACAAAGGGGCACATCTGGCACTTTCCACAGGGGAACATGCCCATAGGTCTATTACTATTCAAGAAATTTAGTTTTTATAAGTTTTGGTTTATACTCTGAATGGGCTAAGGTGTCCCTAAGGTTTTGCGACCGACGGGCCGTTAGGAGGGGTCTAGGACCTACAATTTCTGATAAAGTGGGACAAAGATTGAAAATGTGCCAATGTTTTGTTAAGAGTTCTTCTCAGTGTCTCAATGTCTTTGATGTCACTCGACCAAGAGGTAGAAGCATATCTAGAAGGAGACCAACAAGAAATAGAACAAGACACAATGAAGACTGGTCCACCAGTAAGAGTGAGGGAGATATCCCAAGGAAATCAGTTAGTTTTTTCAGACAGGACAGAGGATGGACCTCACACAAAATTCAAGTTCCCAGAAAGAACAGAAGACCTAAGAGTAGAAAACATAAGAGAAAAAGACAATCCCACAACACACAGATCGATAATAAAGATAAGGAGCTGCCGCAATTAATACCATGTAATTCACAGGGAGATGAACAGACTAAGAATATTATTAATCTCACTGATCTTAATTTGAATGAACATCATATCAGTCTGCTAAAACGTGGTCTATCCTTCTCCCCCACTGACGGCATGGATGA